TGAGTATGAGTGTGTGAGTTTGTGAGTGTGTGTTTGATGAAGCGCTGCCTATCCTACCATCTCCACCTTGCAACTCCTCCCCCCTCCTGCTTCGACCAACTCACACGTGGTGCGCACCCCATCATGCATGGTCTGTTGTTGTCACTGCAGCTGCTGCGGCGGCGACCGAGCGAGCGCATGTCCTTGGCTGATGCCCTCCAGCACCCCTGGATCACCAAGAACGTTCCTCACAGCTCCCTCGCATGATGATCGCACACGTGTGCACTGCTGCTGCGTGTGCACTCCTCACCGCAACTTGCATGCCATGTTGCACTTGTGCGCATGCACACGCCCAGACATACATGACATTGTCAATACAACATCTTACTCTCCCTCGTTGCTCTGCCTTACATCCTTCGTGTCTCACAACAGACCACGCTGTTCACTGCACATCTCGTCGCCCCAGTGCCCGTGTTGTGTTTGTCAGAAAAGATCATTTTCCTCTCTCACGCTTCGTGTTGTCCCGAGTACACAAGCAACTCAACAACAATACACACGCACGTGTCATTCATTTACTGGGGTGAAAGTCCGCAATGGCATTTGAGAGAACAGGAAGATGCGTGGACAGAACGGAGGCGCGACATGGGGAATTGCAGCAGCACACACAACACAACACAACACAACACAGCACAACACAGCACAGCACAACACAACACAGCACAACACAACACAACACAACACAATACCACACAACACAACACAACACAATACCACACAACACGACACAACACAACACAACACAACACAACACAACACAACACAACACAACACAACACAACACAACACAGCACAACACAGTGGCAACAACGGTTCGCTATCATTTGCCAGATGTGGCTGTCTCAACAACGACGTTGTTGTTGAGGTGCTTCGCCTGCTTCTGCAGCCACGAAATGGTCTCTGCACTCAACAGCGGCGACTCAAATCCATCGACGCGAATCAGCCGGCAGCAGAACGCAATGCGCTCAGGCAACTCTGCAAAGAAGTGTGCGTGTGTGTGTGAGTGTGTGTGTGTGAGTGAGTGAGTGAGTGAGTGTGTGTGTGTGTGGGTAAACTGAGCATCATCATCATCATCATCACACCATCAGCACGAGCCCGCTGCTCCCGTGACCTCACCGTCATCGGCGTGGCCCTCAATCGTCGTGCCGAGATGAACCACCATCTGCTTCATCTTCCCCTGCACTCGACAACAACACACGAACATACGGCCACACGAACAGCGAGGGGCAGAGGAAGCAGGAGGTGTCAGTGTGTTAATGACTCAATTTGATCACATGCTCAGCCTGCGCCGCCGTTCTAGACTCCAAACGCACACAAATGTTCACACACGCATACACGTACGCCAACACATACATATGGCTTCTCTGCCTCCACAGCGTGTACTCGAACCAGATAGATGTATGTGTGTGTGTGTGTGTGTGTGTGTGTGTGTGTGTGTGTGTGTGTGTGTGTGTGTGTGTGTGTGTCGTACCCTGAGCGAGTGGATGGACTTCCGCGTGAGGACGGGGAACGAGTGCACGTTGATGCACATCTC